ATTTCAATCAATTTATAACTTTCTATAAACACATTATTTAAATAATTTTTATTTTAATACCTATTCTACGAATTTATCAAGTTACAAATGGACAACTTTAATTGTTATTTCTATTGTTAAAATATTTTTTCAATTTTTCTATGTAAAAAGTTTATTATTTATTGCTAACCATTAACATTAGTTTATAGTAATTTATTAAAGAATATTCTCGATTACAATAAATAAAATATAATGGCAATAACATATTATCGAATAACCGTATTTAAAATTAATATTATAGTATTATTAAAATAATTATTAGTTATTTAAAATCAATTAATATATAATATATATAATTTATTTATTTATTTATATTTATTGTAAAATCATTAAAAATATGAAAATATATAAATTATTTGACTTTCTTATAAATCCTAACAAAAGCTACATTATTGAGAGCACCGGTGACCCGAATGGTGTCGTCTTTGAATTCCCTAATAATTGTCACCAAATTCCTGTCACTAATCTGTTTGTGAATCCATTTGTTTCCCTTTTGAACAATAGTTGCCTTCACTCGGAGTCCATCCAAACGGTTCTCTTCAAACTCTTCGCCATTGAGTTTGAAGTTAATCTCAGATGTCTTAAACTCAGAAATAGTCTTCAGTTTATATGTGTCTCCATTTCTGGTGATCTCGTAGTCGGGATGAGCTCTGTTGGCAATCGTCCGCTGAAGGAATCCGACGCCAAGTTCTTCGAGAAATTTGTCGAAATTCTCGCTTTTCATCATTTTATATCTTCCCGTGAAGTCTATTTCACCAGAATTTCTGCTCTCATTCTTCACATCCCTGTCCTCTAAGTCTTGATTAATCTCGAGGTTCACAATATCGACGATCTCTTTATTACGGAAACTACACGACAAGGAACTGGTATTCCACTCAAATGCAAACATTATTAAACCGCATATTATTAAGACTATAAATATATGAAAACATAAATGTCATGATAAATCATTTATTCAATATTTGCTGTCATACGTCTTTACTTACGTATCTTATATATTGTGTTATAAGCGTTATTAAACTCGAGGTATAATCACTTATGGTATTTTGTGTTATAGTTTGTAACTAAAAGTAATTCCGTTACGTTATTTGTGACAATATTCAAAGATTTCTTATTGTTTTTCGTAAGACTTGTGTTATTTGACAGCAATCGACTGTATGACGGATCAGTCAATTAGTGTTAATTTTGTCGAAAAACGATTACTTCATCAACACATACACATCAAAAAAGTTTTGTAGACAAATATTTGAACCGCAAATGTATTTATAAAACTCATGCCACTTTCACTCTCAACTAAAATGATTAGTTGAAAATATATTTATAACAAACCATTTTTATATACACAAGAAATCAGATTAATGTTCGTCAAAGAGATAACTGACAAAAAAGTTAACTCAAGGTATTTTGTAAAACCAATGGATAGTTTTCATCGATTTTGGCGAAAATGAGCAAAAATGATTTATTATAAGTTTATTTTAATACTATTAATACAGTAGTAGTCGAGAGAACTGTTAATATTTTCTATTTTCATGAATAAAATCATTTATTTCAAGTCTAAATCTTCACATTTTGTACAGCGATTAGTTGTAACACTTTGTACAGTACAGTAATTGGAAATTGTATGTTATTTCACCAATTCTAATTACTAAAACTCCAATCCTATTATAAAAAGTTTCACTTTGTTACATAATAATACAGGATAATTTAAAAATCGTCAAACAAACAATCTTCACATTAATTTAAAAATTGATAAACACTTTAAAGTTAATACTTAGAGATTCACGTCAATTCACAAAATTATACACTTTGTGCTAAGTTATGTGTCTAAGTCCCAAAGATATAAATAACGTTATAAACCAACGTAAGAGATTTGTGATCGAAAAATACTATATTATTAAATTTACAACTCTAACTTATTCTTTTATAAAAAAAACACAAAAAATTCTCGTATATTTACAATTCATATAAGTTTATCCAATTGAAAGGTGGGGACAGTTATTATATTATTCCTCTACATCTTCTCTGACCACTACTACTGTTCCTAATCTTTTTGTTTACTATATATCTCTAATGAGATGTGAATTGATTTCCAATGAAAAAGAGGAAAAGATAACAAACATTCCATTCTAAAAATAAGGGTTATGAGACATTATTATTTTCAGTTCCAAAGAAAACTTAGGATTAATAAAGTTTGATATTGCAATATTATCAATACTTTGAAACAAGTTTAATATATTTTTACATCTAGAGAATTTTTTTTATACATTTAGTTAATTGTTAAAAAATTAATTATCAATTTTCTAAATGTTTCACCAAAGTGTCAATTATATGTAACGACATAAACATCAGACCACAACTATAATATACAAATACCATTGTAATATAAAATGTGTAAAAATCAATTAAAACTAATGTCTTTGAAAATAATTTCAGATAAATTATTTTATTTGCTATTATTAAGTATTAAGTTCACTTTTAATGAAAATTTTTATTCATTCCCACCAAAGATGTAAATCAAATAAAATTATTTTCTCAAATGAAGTTAACTACTGTACTGTATTACAAAGGCCTCAATTGTTGGAAAGGGAGGGGTCGACCGGAGATTTTTATTGGGAATGAGAAATGTTTACTACTGTACATAATTTTTAAATAATTAGCATTCAATTTTGTTTAACATACTATACATGTAGTAATATTTAAAGTACAATAAGTTAATTTCATTTTTAAGTTAAGTGTAAGTTATTTTCAATAACCCTAAGATTTATTTGTATGGTCTATATTTTTTAATTTATATGCATATAATCGCTTATAATTGTTCAGAAAATAAATGTTGATAAATTATTGTATTAGTCTTAAATTTAAAAGTCAAATAAATTAACATTATTATTTATAAGATACTGTTATAATTTATAATCATATTAATTCAATGCAACATTAAATTAATTACTTCTTTAACATTGAATTTACATATGGATACAGATGTAAAATATAATTTATATATAATTATTTATTATTGTTAATTGTGAAATTTATTTTGTTTGTTTTGTTAAACATAAACTTTGCTGGAGATTATACAATCTAATTTATGTTTATGTTAAATGTGCATAAAAACGTTAGGTAAGTTTTAGCATAACAAATATGACCGTAAATGAATTTTATAATTATAAAAAAAGTTGTGTTTTATTAAGAAAAATTGGAAACTAGTATTTAATTTTAATTTAATCGATTTTGCACATAAAGTGCAATCACAATGTTTTGAACAACTTTTAAATGAAATTTCTAACTTTCTAAGAATTTCTAACATGTTTACCAAAACTAGTCAAACATATTAAAATAAAATATAAACTGAATGACAGAGATATTGACGGCAAGGACTGTTATAAATAGAAAACTCTTAATGAATATTAAATTAAATATCTGAATACTGAAAACATCTAAATAAATAAATTCAAAACATAAATAATTCTTTGAAAAAACTTTTTTTTTATTTATTGCAAAATCATTAACTTAGAGTTTTAAATGAGTTATAAATACAATGCGCGCGCGTTTATAATACAGCCATTCATACAATTGAATTATCATCAGTAATACAGTATTATAAGATATAATAACCATAAAAGTTACTAAACTACTAATAACTAAAACTACACAAAAATAGTAAATCAAAAAATTAAGTATAAATTCGGGATTCTTTAAACACTTAATAAATGCAAAAATTAATACAAAAAATAGAAAGTAACTTATGATACAAATACAGTAATATTCTGGTCATTAATGGGGTTGAGTATCAAAGTGGTGGAACTCCTATTCAGTGATGAAGAGGAAGGAGAACATGGATGTGACATATTTGGTGAGGGCGTTGTCGCCAACCTTGCCCTTGGGTTTAGTGCCGGGCGCGGGCTTCAGTTTCTGGCACTGGTCTGACTCGGCCGGGAACAGGTCGGCCGGACAGGCCATGTCGGTCAGCGTTCCCATGACTCCGCCCATAAACTTCTTGTAGTTTTTGATGGCATTCTCCCCGCACTGCTCTTTAATCAATTTGTTGGTGCACTCAAACCAAGTGGCGTAACCACAACACGTGCGCGCGTGGCTGTCATCCGCTTTGTCCGTCACTGTGTCGTCGATTTGGTCGACTGACGCCAAGAAGTTGTTAAAAATCGAGGTTTTGTTTGGACCTCCAGCGGACTCTATCGATGGGATCGCCTAATGTCTGCCTTATGGACGACATATTTGGGTAATAGGAAGCGGGAGGGGATATAACCTCCAGTAAACCCGAGTCTATGTGTTCACCAAATTGTGACTCCAATTCATTGGCAGTCTTTGTCACGTAATCTAAATCAGTCTTTTGGAGAGTAAAGCAAATGAAATGTGTTTATCATTTGATACGACACTAATGTTTTGTGCAATTTATGTTAAATTGTTTGGAAAATGCCTCAAATGCCTCAATAAATGCCTACCTCTGCGATAAACACCACAATAATTGCTTCCAATCGCTCGTCAACAGACATATTATCGATGAGATTGTGAAGAGTTGACACCAAATAGGACTCGACATCGCGTTTGACGGTCGGGACACCGAAAACCATAGTCACAGAACTCCTCTCGTTCTTCGATATACGAAAGGCTGGCTTTAATGAGTCGCTCGACGACAGCAAATGAGGCAAAAAGTGGTGAATGGATGGCAATTGCAAGACGTCTGAAGAACCAGAAGTGCGACCTTTCATACGGTACGAGATAAACAAAAAAAGCCATAAAAATACAAATCAAATGGTTATACAAATGACAGAATCATTTCTCATATAATACACGACATATTCAACTAAACAATCACTCTTTTGGTGACATATTAATGAGTTTTTAACATCATTTCCAGTGACTTCTATGCGCCGGTAATAATCAACTCAAAGAAAATGGGAATAAAAATAGAAATTTTTTCATTCAATTCTCATATAATGTGAGAGAATATCACTCTTAATCGTGTGGTCGGAGTCACCGTTAAATTGTAAAACGGTTTATAAAACAATTTATTTGAGAAAATAGACTCCAATTCATCTAACATTACGTGGGAATAGGTTTTCGCTAAACAGTAATTCCGGTGAAACTAATGTAAAATCTATTTCTTAAGCAATTTATGGCCAATAAATTAGCGATAATTGTCGCCAATGACTAAACACAATACAGACATAAAAATGAGTTATTCTGTAGTTTTTTGCGGACAAGTTTTGAGGAGTGGGTTGAATGCACTGTAATTAATGTTGAAGTCCTCTGATCTTTACCTTCAAATTAAATACAAATCACTACAAGATATGAAACATTAGAACTGATTATTATATCATATCTTCAATCATAACAGCAAAAAATACATAGAATTAAATCAATTATAAAAAACACATTTGGAAAGTATGGCATAAATTAGAGAAAACCCAAAAATTTAGATAAGAGATGAGACACAAGATATGCAAACTAATATGCAAAACGCTATTCACATTACATAAACCTCTCAAAAGTGTACTAATAATGCAAAAATACAATTGAATGAAAAAGAAAAATAGATACTATTTTGTAATTAAAGCATAACTTTTTTGTATAAATAATAATAATAAAGAGATTATACACACTATTATAAGTTACAGTACTGCCGGTGCAAGGGTTATAAGAAATACATATTATATATTACAATAGCACAGGATTTGAATGACAGCAACGATATTACAAATCACTTGTTATGCCAAAAGTCTATCCCAAGCGTTAAACCACAAAATTATATCATAATATAAAAATATATTTAAGTTGAGGTCAAAAACCCCCACATTTAATACCTCACTCATCTCAACAACAATAACATTTTATTATTAAATAAAAAATAGTTTAAAAGACAACTTATATAGTGTTTATTATGGGCACCAATCCATTCATAAAGGGTTACGAATTCAATGATTATGTGATTAAAAATAAAAATTTTATTTTCGTGACCGACGGAAACCAGTTATTCACTGAAAAAACTTTTTATTTTATTATTATAAATACATTTTAATCAATTTATATGTTTTATTGTGGAAAAAGCAAAAAATTGTATTTTTATTAACCAAATAAAATGATGATTTAGTTTAAGATCTTATCGATTCAATCAGACAATTGCCAAAAAACATCATTAAATCACAGCATTTGCTGTATAAGCCATAAATAAATTGATTTTAATGTTATTGTTTATGAAAAGAAAATAACATATTATTATAAGCTATTTATCGATAATTATAATAATGATTATTATATTCAATACGACATCAACGTATTGTCTAAACATTTTGCTCATCATTTCGTAGATTAAAATATAGACCAAAGACTTAATGAGACATTAAAACACTAAATTATAGCTAAAATATTCATTAAAGAGACACAAAAAACAAGAATTGAGTCAAAATCAAGTTCAACACCGAATCTAATCGTTATATTCAGACAATAAAACATTATCCAAACTATAGCCAACTTTATTGCGAAACAATATATGAATATTAAAACATGGGATTCACTATAAAAAAAATATTATCAACTGAATGGAGGGCTAGTCCACGGACTATAGCATATACGGCCATTCAATACAAAACATTAAAAAACTCGTTTAATACATAACTTAATATTCAATTCTGTTTTTACAACAAACAAAAACTATTTTGAACTTAATTTTTTAAGTTTTATTTTTATGTGATGAACTTTTTCGCTAATCTATTGGTTAGTAAAATATTATGTAATAAATAATAAGAGAAGAATCAGAGGGTATGCGAGGGATGGGAGAGAGAGAGAGAGAGAGGGAGAGAGAGAGAAAGAGAGAGAGAGAGAGAGAGCGAGAGATTCAATGTTCATAAATATTTTGTGTCTTAAAGGAAAATAAATTAAATAAAATTTCAATTAAATTCAAATTTTTCATATAATATATACTTTATATATATAGTAAAACTCTTTTCTGGGAAAAACTTCCGACAAAATGGGACTTCAAATGAGAGAATAAATTATTTTTAACTCAAATATGCAATCAATTGAAGGGAAAACATATTTTCACAAATGATTTACGCATTCAATGCACAACAAAACGCTGATTTATTATGTCTTTTAGAGATATTAGTATAAAATATTAAATAACTGTTGAATTAATTATGAACTACAGAAATGTAATTTTCATATTATTTAATATTTAATGAATTGAATGGTTATTGCATGAGAAAAGGCATAGCAATCAATGAGTGAAATATTACACAAACATTTTGGTGAGAAATTGAAAACAAAAAAATAGGGAAAACTTTTTTATTTATTTATTTTAACAAAATCTGGTCATAAAGTTATGAATAAATAAATGGGTTTTTATGTATTGATTTTCATTTCAAATAGAGTGCAAACAAAGTCATAAAAAATACTTTAATGATAGTTAAATGAAATAAACGTTTTGACAAAAACTATTATAAACTAATTATAAGCACGAAAGGCATACAAAACGCCGACAATTAATACACAGTTATCGCAATTAATGGCAAAATAATACAATTAGAGAATGAATGCATCGATTGAATAGGTTTTCACCCAAATTATAACACTTTTGCAAAAGTATTTTCAACTCAAAGCAAACACTTAACGCTAACTAAGATATTAAAGTGAGAAAAGTGACTAAAATATGTCATAAATTACTGCTAAAACTAATTGAAACTCATGCCATAGTTTATGGCAAACTTAATGATGAATTTGAGCACAAATTCACTATAAATACATACAAAACCCCATTCACTCACTCATACACTCACTCTTAGACACAAATATCTGAAATATATGTCAAATAACAAGACTTTCTACACAACAGTCAAACCAACCGACGATAACCACAATTAAGACAATTAATGGCTAAACAAATCACATAAATATCATCGCCATACCTGTGCCCTCAAGACTGTGGATGAGTTGGCGGACATGGGATTCATTGATGGCTTTCCTATCAGTGTCTGAGCCGATGGTGTGGATGAGCGACAATTTGATGGTCTCTCGGAGATCATTGATATCCCTCTTGAGGGCCGATATATCTCTCTTGCGATCGGTAGACAACATCTGCGAGTGTTTGAGTCGATCGGATAACTCCATCAACCGGTGGGTCAGGAGGTGTTCCGCCGGCACACCACTCGTGGCACTCTTGAGGCCAGGCATGTGGTGGCCATCCGTGTCGCCCGTGCCGTCCATCAGGTATATCGTCACCACTGGTATCAATACCATCAGTAATATCACGTAAAACAAGATCTGAATTAATTTCATGGTATATATATGTGTGCCCTTCAGTTGATCCCTGTTTTCACCACCGATCACACAATCAGATCAATACATTGCTCGTGCTATTAGTGAGCAAGGTACTATTAGTGAGCAAGGTCTATTTGGATACACCAAACATTGTCAACAAATTGCAATTCAAACTCAAATCACGACTCAAAAGGCGATTAATAAACACAAACTTATCAGTGATTTATGTCTCATATATTTCACACACTTTTGATGCAAACAAATGCACAAAATGTGTGCTAAATGTGTGCTAAAAGTGTCGTCAACTGTATTCACGTGTAATAAGGGGTCGAAAGTGACCACAAAATGGTCACAAAAGGGCCACAAATCGCGGCAAACAGTGGCCCACAAAGTGATGGCGTTTTTGGTGTCAAACGCTTTTGGCATTCATTGCATGCATTCATACATTCAATCAAAACAAATACAAATCAAATGTTTGCGAGTTTTCTCTCAAATGTTTTCAAACCAAACATACAATCAATGCGTTCGCAGATTGTGCGCTCTATTCGCACCACTGGTGCCGAACATTACGTACCTTTTATGGCTATAGACTATTCGTGTGGTTTGTATGCAATTCGTGTAAAAAGGTCACAAATCTTTGGCAAAACTTGTATTTTAAAAGTCTTTCACAAATTCACACAAACAATACGTTTGTCAGTAAAACAGAATACAGATTCTGTATTACAGAATATTCGTATCGTATGTATGATCAGGGTTGATCTAACTTATGTTGAGTTCAAGCTTTAAATTGAACAGTATCATATTTAATACAATCAAAATGAATGTTGAAAATAAGTTAAACTAATGTCCACTAAACACATGCAAACTTTCTATATTTTAAATAAAATGATGGACTTATCAATCAATTACTAATAGAGTAGCAAATAATTGGGCTAATTGTTGCCTGGGATCAGTATTAATAGCGTTAAAAAGTTTAGTTTTCGGTTTTAATTGAAAAATATATAGAAATTACAGTTTTGGTAAATAAAATCTAAATCATTAGTGAAGTCATATGTACAGTAGATAAAATTTATTGAATATCCGCAATATGTAATATATACTGAACCTTTTAAATCCAATTTAACAATAAAATTACAAAATTCTTTATAATATTTGTGGTAATATTCAACAGCTTTGAAGTAAAAATTATATTTTCTAAACCGAAAACTCAATGTTTTAATGTGAATCTCGCGCTACTTTTTATTGTTATTACCATGCTACAATTAGCTACTGTACATGAGATCATCATTTAATTCTCAAAATTCAAACACAAATTACCTTTGACATAGTAACTGAATAACTGCTACTAGTTTTCAATAAAATCCAATTCAATTTATTCATTCGGTTGTATTATTTTATCATTTATTTGCTATTCACTGATATTTAGATCACTATTTAGTTTAGTTAGAAGTTCCAGCAATTGGTATATTCCAGACAATTAAGTCAATTCATTACAAGCACTTTCTCTATATGCAGACCATTGCGGTGATAGGTATTCATAGTTTTGATGCCTTATTACATGAATTGTTATGAATTATTAACCATAGTTTCACACAAACCATAGTATTTGTAGCGGTTTTGGTATCTTTCGGTGAATCGACTAATTTTTGTGAGAAATTTAAAGACAACGGAAACAAAATCTCTTTCTGTTACCGAAGAATTTGGGGCAAAGATTTGAGTGCAAATTATTTGGTCATTAAAGATCTCTTATGGCAACTGAAGTTCACCGACGATTTGGATAATAAAAAACTTCTGGAGATCGCGGGTGACGGCCAACAGAGCCAGTGGTTTACCAACGCATGGATGGCTTTCTGTATTGGCAACGATCGCAAGTTTGAGACAGGACTTCTGGTGAAAACAGCAATTGTTGTCATATTTATGTGTTAATACTAATTGATAAATATGTGTCCAATCACTGCAACAGTTCCCAAACAAAACCATCAAATGGGCGAACATTAACGACGGTCTCAAAGTGACCGCAGATATCAAAACGTCTCAAATGAATGTCTTCGAGACGTCTTTTACACCTGAAGTGGCATTTGTACCGACAGATTGGGAGCGCGTATGGGCTGCCGTCTACTTTCTCGGCAAATCTGGAGGACAGAGAAAGTTCGTGGTCTATGACTTCAAAGACAAGGATAACCCAAAGCATTTGAAGTTGGATCTCAACGGAAAGCGTCAACGGCAACACTTCCCAACAATCTATGAGAGTCTGGACAACAAACTTGATGTGATTGCAGTGATCGCTCAGTATAGTCACAAAGACTTTCAGATTATCAACGACGTCGACACTCTCGCAGGTCAGGGAATCTTCGTTTTGGTGCAATCGGAGTCAGCCATCAAATATTGCTACAAAACACTGTATAAAAGCAATGATTTAAACCAAAATCAGGTGATTCACTGATATTTGCAGTAAATGTGAATCAAAGCTATAATTGATTGCAATTACTGTTTAGTGCAAAGAGAAAGATCTGCAGACTTTGATTAACTGCTCGGACCCTATCATACATCTCGATCCAACCCATAAGTCTCTGATCAGTAACGAAACCATTTTGATGATAATTCTTGTGGCTGTAGTTGCGGTGATTGTCTTCTCTATTTGTGTCTCGGTCTTCGTGTATGCATACAATAAAAACAGTGAGAGTTTCAATTGAAATGATTGTAACTGTATATTCATATGAGTTGATAAACTTTTATCTGTCATACCATAGACACCGATACCTCCAATGCATCCTTTGCCGCGTCTACAAAGTCACGGATTCCCAGCAGTAAATTAACCTAGATGTCATTATTGAAAATAATTTCTAAAAATAATGTATATTTTCTGAATAATAGAGACCGACACCGGATTTTCGGCAATGTTTTCAAAAGGGACGCCACCGACCAGTGCTCTCAATAAAAAGTCCAAAAGTCCCAAAAAAGCCAAACCATCAAAATTATCGGCAGTCACTCAATAAGTTTGGAAAAAATGTTTAAAATTATTATATTTGGATTCAAATTCATTTATTTGTTTTATTTATAAATTCTGTTTAAATTTTTATTGTTTTACAAAGCAAATAAAATACCGTAATATATACTGTATTTAATTTATAATAGAAATATGTTTCTAATTAATAAACACAATGATTACATAATGACAAGATTTGGGCAAAACATTTAATCAATAAAATGAGATCAAGTGTGCTGAACAGCCAGCTCATATTTTTCAAATCCATTAGTCTTTAATACAAATCCCAATAAAAGTATAAACAATTGAAGTGAATACAACACGTACTGAAAAGCAATTTAATTACATTTAATTCAACAATTAACAGACATTTGTATATTTCCACAAATAAAACCAATATGTTTAAAATTAAATATGAATATTTACCCGAACAAATACTTCATTATTGATTTTAAACAAATCTAAACAATATATACCAATGTTGTCCAAAGCTAAGTGTTCAACAAATAGCATGATCTGTAAATAATCAATAAATAAGTGTTAATTTAATATATAATTATAATAAGTGTTAATTTTGAAGAGTCCGATATAAATTTGAAATTAAAAATACTTATACTTTTAATTTATAAGCAAAAAGTACACCAAACTGTTGAGGGAGATTTAGATTTTTATATCAGATCTACAGAATGTGCATAATTCATGTACCATGGTCATGATATAAGGGAAACACGAAAACGTGTATAGAGTGCACCCGAAATGCATGATTCCTTCAATTCTATGACTCGATTGATACGCAAAGCAGTGAAGTCCTCAGCAATTGATTCAATGCTTCCATTCATAGCACTGTTAGGAATCATGCATTTTGCGGCACTATTTAATCATTTTTCTGTGTTTGTCATTAAATTATGACCATGGTACATAACTTATGCACATTTTGTAAGTCAGATATAAAATTCTAAATCTCTCTGAACAGTTTGGTTGCACTTTTTGTTTATAATTTAAAAGTTAAGTATTTTAAATTTCAAATTTATATCCGACACTTCAAAATGAACTCATTATTTAAACTTCAATTATCCACAAACTATTTATCCGACTATAATAATAATGTATAAGAATTTAATTGACTTACTTTCCATCTATATGTTTGATTTCTATTTAAAGTGTGTTTACATAAATATGAATTCATTTTAGCGTAGAGACCAGTTGTCTATAAATGGAAATTATTATATATAAAAAGTTATATAATTTATTTGTAATAAATGGTTACCTCTTTAGACAGATTTCCAGTGATATAAACGGTTGAATAAATGATAAGAATGGCGGCGATGGCCACGAATCCCAATATAATTCTGATCGACAGGAATGTCTTACCCATGAATGACATGTAAATCAATGCGATTATGAATGGTGTGAGAAATGCATACACGGATCCCATCAGATATTTGAATACTTGATTGTAATTAAAACATTTTACAGACAGGTAATTATGTTTGGCTAGTATTTTCAAGTCATTCACATCTAATGCTAGCCATTGTTTCGCAATTTCATTGATTTGTTTGAATAATAGTCTTAAATAAATTACAGACAATATTTTGATGGCTAGAATCGTTATAATACTTTTTGCTACAAAATACAATGCGACCACAAAATTGACATTAGATATGATTAAAACAATTAAGTTGTAATCGTAATCGTGTTTAATATAAGCCAAGTATACAAAGAAACTGAATGCAAGTGTCGCACATATAAAACAAATATTTGCTAAAATCTGTATGAAAAATGGCACAAAATATTTAGAAATTAAGTTAAATTTTTCCAGATTCCTGTCGCTTAAGTGATGATTTGTCAGACTTTTAATAAAATGTAAACTTTCGACAAAATATAAAGTGCCACTCTTTTCGCCCCAATATATGCTGAATCTCAATGAGAAAGCGGCCATAAATGCAGAGCCGATGCAAAA